TTAATGTCCTTCAATACACAGGGTTTACCATTGCACATATACTTCTAACGCCATGCCCATTCTCAGATAAATTCATCATCTTTGGAGAATCTCCCTTTGTTATTTAGGTTGACAATCTATACAGATGCACACAGGAAAAAACATACAAACATCTATACCGTATATGTACATATAAATAGTAAAAGCCATGAGGTTAGATACTTACTTTCAATTCCAATCTAACACCTCAGGGCTTCCTCTAACCTTCCTTTTTTCCATACTTGTCAATTTTCAGTAGTGAAAAACCTGGCCCTCATTATCCTCAGTGTATTCACTTATTGGCACAAACCTCCCCCATGTCCATACAGCTAAACTCCCAGCTGTGAATGGCCTAGTGCAGAAAATCCTCCTTTTCTACCAGCTTTTGTCCCACAGGTTATAAATCTTAATCCTTTTTCATTACCAGATTGAATAATTTCTATTGATCTATCTTTAAATTCATAGACCCTTTCTTCTTTGTGTTTTCTAAGATACTATTAGGCCTATCCAGTGAAGAGTTTATTTCAGATAAATGCTACTTTTCATTCTAAATTTCAATTTGGTTCCTTTTTTCACATATTCAGTTTCTCTGTGAGACTCTCCAGGGTGATGATGCCTAGAATTCACTGATTTTACCATGCTCCGGTACCCTTTAGTAACTGGCTTGACAGGACAAGCCTTTAAAGACTTGGCTGTGGCATCAGTTAAAGGGCAATACTTACAAAGGGCTAGGACAGGTATCCAAATCAGCACCTAAAACATGGTGCTATTTCTTTCTTTTTTTGGTGATGCTGGGGATTGAACCCAGTGCCTTGTGCATGTGAGGCAAGCACTACCAACTGAGCTATATCCCCAGCCCAAACGTGGTGCTATTTCTTGCAAAGCCATGACTTCCGTCCCAGAATCGAGAGGTAACAATCAGAGTGGCACCACTCTCTACGCGGTGATCCACCATAGGGAGTTCGGATTAAATTGTGTTCTTTTAAAGGAGGCTAAATTTTGTTCTGGCAGGCAGATAAATTACCAGTTGTTTCTTCCGGTCCGGTCAGACTTGATTTTTATCATTCGTTTGGGCAGGTCTATTTTGGGTTTTGTCCTTAGTCACAGGGCAACATTAAGCTTAGGGCATGATTATCACTCATAAGGCATGGACTTTTCTGCAGTGTCAAGTGTATGCCTGGGGGCTCAGCGATTCTCTCCACTCAAGGCAGAATTCTTATTTATCAACATCGTGTGACCTCTGAAATCAGCTTGCAATCTTGCAACAGCCTTGCTCTGTAAAACACCATCGAGTCTCTTCCTGTGCTGTCCAGTGCTCAGATGAAAACTCTGGGGGATCCCCGTATGGGCATCTATATACTCTCCTCCAAATCAAATACCAGCTGCTCTTCTTTCCCCAACTCCTTCCCATCCAGTTCAGTGAGACCACCATCTTCTGCTTGGCTTCCACCTTTCTAGGCAGAGGTCCAGAAAGTGACCCTGCAGCAGAGAACTGAGCTACATCTTCTGTGTTTTCCTTCTACCAAGGATTGGAATTCTGCCATGCCTGTTAACTGATGTCTGAAAGCAGCTGCCTCATCCATTGTTCTTCCAGCTTCATCCACATTTATGAGTCGAGTACTCCATTACAGCCAAAAGCAAAACTCAGATTCTTTAAAACTGCCTTTGAAACTATTAGCATTCTTCTTACGTACTTCCCTTGGTTTGCTTTTGTTGTTGTTGTTGGTGGTGTTTTGTTTTGTTTGCTTTTTGAGACAGGGTCTCCTTCTTATGTTACCCAGGCTGGCCTCAAACTCATGGGGCTCAAGTCATCTTCCCACCTCAACCTCTCTCCTGTGTGACTGGGAACACAGCACTGTGCCACAGTGCCTGGGTTTCACATAAGTTATTACAGTTATGAAAACTGTAGCATCTCCAAGTATTTGTTAGAAAATGTAGATGTTTAAATTTTGTTTAACACTCTCTTCAACCCCCTCCTACTGCCTTCTACCACATCCTATAGGTCCCGGGGACAAATTCCAAGTTGATAATATTTTAGATAGTCTAATAAAGTGAATCTAAAAAAAATTTGATTTTTAAATTTTCTGTTGAAACTTTTTTTTTTTTTTGGAGGGAAGGAGGGTAGTACAGGAAGCAATGGAAGGTCAGTATTAACTGCCAGGACCACTTCCTCCTACCGATGCTGTCTTCCTCTGCACCTGTATCCACGACTCCCAAGCTCCATATGGTTCAAAATGGCATGGGGTGTGTGGAGCAGAGGATTGCTACAGGGATAGCTGATAGCAGGTATTTGTAAGTAAGGTCACCTTTAATTTTAGGAAACACAACAAATGCCAATTATGCAGGGTTGAGTTAGATCAATGCTTCCTGAAAGGAACTAAAAATGTTTTATTCTTTTGTTTAAAACTATATGTAGACAGTCATTACCAAAACCGTCCCCCAATCCACATGTTGGACATAAAAGGTGAAAAGCCTAAGGAAATACGGAGGGAAAGCATACCTGGGCTACAGCGAGAGACTTGGACAGAGCCCTAGATCTGTACTCTTTGCTTCTGGCTCAGCCGTGATGGGCCTTGGACTTCCTATCATCTGTGGCACTTTGAAAGGCTTCTTAACCATAATTCATCTATTTTAATCACTAAACCTCTGGTGGGCTGCTCTCCAGGGAAGAACCCGAGGCTGTGACATCAGTGTTCACAGCAGCCTTCACAACCACCAGCTAATTCCTTCAGAATCCAACAAACACTGCTGTGTCACACACAGGACTCTGCCAGGCACTTTAGGAACTATTGATATTCAAAACATGCTCCCTAGTTTGAAGACTTCATAAACCATCAGTTCATCAGGTTTGTGCTTTAAAATTATATTTTGCAGGTGTGTCGATCTGGCTAGTGGCTATTACTGTTCCTAGCAACCCAAAGATTCAGAAAAACAAACAAAACACAAGATAGGGTGGCTGATTAATAATTTAATTTACTTGCATAAAGCCCTGAGAACATATCTGCTGCTGAGTAAACACATAGATATTTGCTATTGATATTATTATCAAAATAATAATTATTGGCAAATTCTTGTTTAGGGTTTTCTTTTTGAAAAAGAATATGTAAAATGTTTAATTTTCAGTGTGGTTGGTTGAATTCTTCCATGAAATGTGTTTCTGGTAAAAGTTTTGATGAATCTTTCGTTAAAATAAATTAAAATGGTAGTTAATAACCTTGAATAACCACCCTAAGTAAATTCAATACAAAGGTATTAGAATTATCCATCAAGCTTCATGTGTTTTTAAGATCGCTTTATGAAATGATTCCTTTACTCAGAATCTACTTTGTTGTGATCAATGTTGCATACTAAGAGTCTCTTAATAAACTCTCTTAATTATCTAAAAGCATGCAAAGGGGAAATGATTCACACTGTCAAATATCCCTAGTAATGATCCCCCAACCTCCACAATACGTCCAGGAAATTCTCCAGGCAGCTGGCGCCTATTATCTGAAGGAGCTTCCTGAAATTTCTGCCCATCAGTGGTCGCACATCCACCCTAAGTATCACATCCACTATCTTGCTATGTTGTGTCATTTACTATTCTAAGAGGAAAGAAGGGGAAATCAATTTGATGCTGTAATCAGAGATTGTTACAACCAAATAAGAATACCTGATAAGGGCACTTCAAGAAAGGAAACATTTTAAGAATGTCCTTCAGAGGTGTTCTGCTGCCAATCATCTTTCTTCTTACTTCCAAGGTCTGGTTCATCCTCTTGTCAATTTCTGTCCAATCCCTTTCTGTTTTCATATATTCTTGCTGAAACCAGTTAATATGTTCATCTACCTCAGAATCTAAACACACAGATTCTTCCTGCAAAATATTTTCAAAATATCAATGAATCTCATGTTTCAAGTGGCAGGTGATACATCATGAAAACCTGAATTACAGACTGTTATTCCATGCCTTAATAATGTACTCCTAAAGGGAGCTTGGCCATGTGTAATTATACTTGACCTTGAACTTAGGTAACCAAGGGAGAGTTTTAATGAAAGCAATAGCTCATTAGTTACTTACCATGGAATTATAATCTGAGTTCTTGACAGACCTAAAAGTTTCTTTAATTTCCATTTACCCATTTATATGGAAATCTAGATTATCCAGAAAGTTCACATCTAACAGGGATATTGTTTATTTTAATGCATTTAAATTTTAGAAGACAAAATGTTATGAAGAAATTTTAAAAACTGGTTTTTAAATTAAGGGTGTTATTGCTATTGCTTGTCTTTTTATTTTTAAATGACTTTTTGTAGCTGCAGAACCAGGCCATAAAATCCAAATTCAGAATAATATCAGCAGATTTTTTTGTGATGCTAAATAATTAAACTATGTTCATGCTATAATGAGTATACTGAGTGTGGTAGGAACAGCTAAGAAATACCTCACATATTCTTTTTGAAAATATAAGACAATCAGCTTTGAGTAAACTAGAAGAAAATCTTTTTAGAAAAATTAGTTGAGAGCAACTTGGCTGAACTGTACTTGAATGCAAGTTGACCAACTCCAAGCTGATCAGAATGTGAACAGTTGTTACCTCTAAATAAATGATGAAAAGATGATCAAGAGTTTAAAATGCTCTTACATCAAAAATTTTATAAGCACATTGGGAAAATGGCAGATAGATCTAATTTCTGTGAACTCAGGATGACTAGCAAGACATAGACCAAGAGAGAACAAATTTCTAGAAAAATATAATTCATCAGAACAGATGAAAATGAAATTCCTACAATCTTACATGAATTTAATTAGAAGACAAAGGGCTTTACACAAGGAAAAATCCCAATGTCTAAAGGTTCTATAGATAAATTCTACTTAACTTTGGAAACAGAGTGTTCCAAATTTATGCAGATTATTTCAGGAAATCAAGAAAGGAAAAAAGAGAGAGAGGAAGGAAGAAAAAAAAATGCTTTCCAACCCATTCCACTGATGCTTTTTTATTTTGGTAATGGGGATCAAACCCAGGACCTCACACCTGCTAGGCAAGCACTCTACTACAGAGCTACACTCCAAATTCTCTGCAAACCATTCTATAAAACCACAGTGATGTTGATCTTCAAGGACAAAGAACAGTATGAGAGGAAAAGTGCAGGTCACTCTCATTTATAAGCAAAGTTGTGATTATTAGGAACAACTAACTTGGTTTTATCCTTGAAATGCAATGTTGGTTTTGAGATAGGATAGAAGAAATAATGTAGGTAGAAAGGAGACAAAAGGAGACCAAAGAAAGAAAGCTCTGTACTTGAGTTCCTCATGCTTTTCTTCCCCAACTCAGTTCTCTCTCCCAGGTCACTCCTAACTTTCTGGGAAATCTACACATCTGTACTCACAGTCTTAAATTTACTAGAAAATAACTTATGAAAATTGCCCTTTACACTGTTAATTAACCCACTGATACATGCATTTTTAGAATAAGTTGAGGAAAGGGAGATATGAACCTATAATATAGGGAACTTTCCCAGTGTTAATCTGTTAATCAGATAATACAGAAGACATCAACCTAAGGATCCTGAAAACAGCCAGACCACTGAAAAGGTCTTGTGACCACCAGCCTGATGTCATCCCCACATACCTTCCCATGCCCACTCCTCACCAAGTTTCAAAGAGAAGCATGAGATCCCTAAAAGCACTTCTTCCTCTTATGATAGCCCACTTTCTCCCTTGAGTGTGTACTTTCTGCTTTTCTTGTATAGATCTTTGTGTGCCTCAATATCTGAAGCATGCTGAAATTCTTTCCCACTGTGCATGTCAAGAATCCTGGTGTCTGGATTTGAGGTTCTTCTCTAGGATCTCCTCTTTCTGACTCCCATGACAGTTCAACACTAGTAAGACCACTATATTAAACTAAAGAAAAATATGATTGTTTTACCCATTACATTTCACATGCTATCATTCTGCAATGTCAATTTAGGGGCTACTGTTATAGAATAGTTGGGGACAGAAAAGAAGTAGGTTTTGAGAAATATATTATATTAACAACTATGTGATTTTACTTGGATTATCTAAATATGTTTAAACATTATATATCATATGAACCAATAAGATGAAAAGAAGAAGCATCTTATAAAATTCAACATCCTTTTTTGATAAAAAAAAATTGTCAAGGTAAAAAGAAAATTTTAAAACTGATAAAGTTATCTACCTAAAACCTAGATCTAACCTAATTTTTTTTTGGGGGGGAGGGGGACTACCAAGGATTGAACTCAGGGGCACTCAACCATTGAACCACATCCCCAACCCTACTTTGTATTTTATTTCGAGACAGAGACTCACTGAGTTGCTTAGTGCCTCACAGTTGCTGAGACTGGCTTTGAACTGGAGATTCTCCTGTATCAGCTTCCCAAGCCGCTCGTATTACAGGCATGTGCCACTGCGCCCAGCCTAACATAATTTTTGATGGTGAAATTTTAAAAGGATTCTCTTAGAATCAGAAACAAGACAAAGTTGCTCTCCTACATTCTTATTCAACCTTATGATATGAGTATGCCAGAGTAGTAAAAGAAGAAATAAATGTAAGGTGTAAAATTTGGAAAAGATAGAACAAAAATTGTCATCATTCAGAGATGATGTGATTGGGACTAGTGCTATAGATCAGTGGTAGAGCATTTGCCTGTCGTGACTGAGGCCCTGTATTCATTCCCCAGCACCACAAAGAGAGGGAGGGATGATGTGGTAGTTTAAGATAAAACTTAAAATAATGCACACCTAATTTATTATAACTGAGAGTTCTCCAGAGTCATGGAATACAAATATATAAACAAACAAAATATGATTTTTCACAATTACAAAAAACACCTATAAGGTACCTAGAAATAAAACTAATAAATGATGTATAAGATCTTTATGAAGAAAACTTCAAAATCATTAGAAAATATTAATCAGGTCTAAATAAAAGGATAGGTCTACCATGTTCACAGAAAGCAGCAATATCATAAACAAATCACCGTTTTCCAAATGGAGCTATAGATTGAACAAACTCTACTTTCACTATCAACCCCCCCCCCAATTTTAAGAACCTCATAAACTGATCCTGAAATTTATATGAAAGATTTGAAAGCTCAAGAGTAATCAAGACACTTCTAAAGAAGAATAAGGCAGTGATGGGAAGGTATCAAGACATTTCACAGCTATGCAGGTAAGGAAAGCTGGTATTCCTGTAGGGATAGATAATTAATAGTGCAATATGGCAGAGTTTCTGACTGAGCCAGGGAGACAACAGAGATGGCATCACTAACCCCTGAGAAAAAGAGGATCTGTTTTATAAAAAGTGCAAGGAATGGTTTTATCCATGAGGGGAAAAGCTTCTTCATGGTTTAAGAACTTCAATGATAAGCAAAACTGGAAAAAGAAAGAAAGAAAGAGAGAAAGAGAGAAAGAGAGAGGGGGGGGAGGGAGGGAAGGAAGGTTGGGGATTTCCTAAAAACAAGAATCAACAGGAGAAATGACTGACAGATCTAACTACATTAAAACAACAAACTTATCTTTGTCAATTACAATTAAGATAATTGGCAAAGTAGTAAACTACAGAATTTATGAAAGACTCTTACAAATAAATAGAAAGAAGGGAAAGTTCATGGGCCAAAAATATTTAAAAAAAGGAGAAAACAAATATTTCATAAATTTAGAAAAAGATGATCGATTCATCCATAACAAAAATGAAAATCAGAACCAAATAGGACAGCATTTTATTCACAACTGGTTGGGACAGGGAAAGAAATCTGATCATAAGTAATGCTTCTCAGGAGTCTTAAATGGTCATACTCATCTGAGGACAATTTGGCCTTGTCTTACAAAGTTGAATATTTGCTCACTTATGTGAGCAAGCACTTCCACTCCTAAGTACAAATCCTTGGAAAAAGCTTGCACAAATGCATCAAGGCACATACTGCAGCAGCATGATCCATAACAGCCCAAACTGGAATGAATCAAATGTTGGTAGACAGGAAAACAGCCACAGGAACTGTGGTTCCCTGTCATAGCAGATTATTAAGCCAAAGGGGAAATGAATAAACTCTGTTTAACTTAATAGCCTGGATGAATCTCAAATGCATTACATTGAAAAAAAGCAAGTCATCAAACCTAACATGGTTTTCATATCTATTTGTAAACATCAAATATAATCCACACTCAAAGTTTGAATTCATGCATAGGTGACAAAATTATTTATTTAAAAAGTGGATAAATGATAAAACTCAGAGTAGTGACCACTTCTAGAGGCCAGTGATGTTGGAAAGGCAAGTGGTGAAGGAGGGGAGGGAACACAGACTCACACAATGGTACATACAATTGGTGACCCAAATCCTAGTGTTCATTTTGTCTCATGAATTACATATATGCCACACATTATCAATTACTCTGTATATTTCAAATGCATAAAATATGAGTTTTTAAACACAAAGAAAATATTCTATTTGTTAAACAATAAAAGAAACAATAAAAACTTTATTTAAACAGTTTACCACTATGAAGTTAATGGAAATTCTGTAATTGCTATATTGATATTTACTACATGTGTCACGTACTGCTTCCCTGTACCCCCTATCTCATCATGAAACTAAAGTTGTTGGGGAGTTTCTGCCTGATCAGACCTCTGGGATTAACACAATGTTCCTGGGTTGTATTACAGATTAAAGAGCCCTTCATTATCAGAAGGTTGTATCAGAATTCAAAATCCTCAAAAATCTCATTCTTCTAATGATTCATATATTATTAGATATATTATTAGTGATTTATATATTACTAGAGCTAAAGGAATTTAGCAATTGGTTGGCTCATGCTCTTCCTTTACTCTGAACACATTCAGATCCTTAAAGGGG